TTTCAGGATCTAGTTGGTTACAGGTTCTTCACGGGAAGACAGAGGCTTTGAAATCAGACACTGAAATCCGAGCCCAAAGCCCACCAAACTGGCCAGGTCTGTTCCACGTCTGTGGGACCCCTGCCATTATTGTGCACAATATCACACATGATGAGTCTTCTCCACGCCTGCCCCCACTCTCTGTCCCTGAAGACTGTGGTCTGTCCTAGGACGGACACCTTTCACTGACGACCTTTCACTCACTAAGAGAATCTGGGCGATGCCAAGGGAGGTTTCACAGCTAAAGGAAAGTTCTGACACCTGCCAGTCAATGCCAAGCCACCCAAGTTAGCCAAGGACCCAGTGGCCCATGGAATCTCTAAAGTCAATGGAAGGCATTTCCAGGGTAGGCAGGTGAGACTTTCCAGTGGAAACATCCTGACATTCTATAAACCAGCACAACGGACAGCTGGACTCCACAGTTGAATCCACTACCTGGGTTCAGACCCAGTGATAATGGCAGCATCTACATACAACATGGAGCTGTTGTGAGGACAAATAAGTTAATCCATGCATCTAGGAGTGAGGGGGTTGCGAGGGTGGGGCACAGACATAGTGGAGGGTAGGGCTAAGTTCTACACAGATGTGAAATCACATCACTGCGTAGTTCACTACAAAGGCCTCTTATCTGCATGATTTATTATATCTCAAGAGCACACTGGAAGCGCTTAAGTCTTACTGACATCCAGCAGCAGAGTGGCCTCTACAGCTCTGTTACTGGGGTCCTGAACAAGAGGATGTTAGATTGAGTTATTAGCAATGAGCTTCTTAATTAAAATGGTAAAATCCACTGCTTCCTGGAGTAGCACCCTGGTGCAAGACTGTGGGGAAGCATCAGGTGCCCAGAGCAGCAGTGTCCCCTGGTATTTCCCTACATTTTCCCATCTGGGACCCAGCTTCCTTCCCTCTCTCCCTCTCCCTCCCTCCCTCCCTTCCTTCCTCCCTGCCCTCCTTCCTTTTCCCCTTCTTTCCTTCCTTCCTTTTTTAGAGCAGGACCTTTCTACTACAAGTCTTAAATAGAACACCAATATCTAAAGCAAATACAATGTATTAGTAGCACAAATGTATTGTGCAATATCAGATTTTACTCCATGAAAACTAAACTTTCTTAAACTAAAACTGTACTTGCCCAGGGCCTTTGCATATTCTGTTCCCTTTACTTGAAACACTCTTCCCCCAGAAACCTGCATGACACCTTCTCAGCAAGACCTTTTGTTGATCTATTTATTTTTTTAATTTAATTTTATTTAATTTACATTCAATTAATTAACATATAGTGTATTATTAGTTTCAGAGGTAGAGGTCAGTGATTCATCAGTTGTATATAACATCCAGTACTCATTACATCATTTATCCTCCTTAATGCCCATTACCCATTTACCCCATCCCCCCACCCCCCTCTCCTCCACAACACTCATTTTGTTTCCTATAGTTAAGAATCTCTTAGTCTCCCTCTCTGATTTCATCTTGTTTTATTTTTCCCTCTCTTCCCCTATGCTCCCCTGTTTTGTTTCTTAAATTGCACATGAGTGAAATCATAAGATAATTGTCCTTCTCTGATTGACTTATTTCACTTAGCATAATACCCTCTAGTTCCATCCACATTGTAGCAAATGGCAAAATTTCTTTTTTTTTTTATGGCTGAGTAGTATTCCATTGTGTGTGTGTGTGTGTGTGTGTGTGTGTATCTCACATCTTCTTTATCCATTCAGCTGATCTTCTATCTAAAATTGCACACACCCCTCCACCCCTAGCAGTCACTCTCCCCATGTCCCCACTTTATGTTCCTCCACAGCACTTCATATATTGTCTACAGTTTACTTCTTTGTTTTTGTCTGTCTCCACCTGAACTTCATGAGTGCAGGAATTCTGTGGCTGTTTTGTTTGCTGCTGTATCTCAGCGCCCAGAATAGTGCCTGGCACACAGTAAGCATTCAACAAATTTTTGTTGGATGGTTGATAATGATGCAGCTATTCAAGCAAACAGACAAATATCAAGTTGGGTGTGAATTAATGCAATAAAGAATCTAACTCCAGGGTGCCTGGGTGGCTCAGTTGGTTAAGTGACTGCCTTCGGCTCAGGTCATAATCCCGGAGTCCTGGAATCGAGTCCCACATTGGGCTCCCCCTTCTCTGTGGGGATCCTGCTTCTCCCTCTGCCTGCCACTCCCCCTGCTTGTGCTCACTCTGTCTCTCTCTATATATGTCAAATAAATAAATAAAATATTTAAAAAAATCTAACTCCATTTTTGATGTGTGACTGTTGGCAGCTTTCAGTCTCCCCCCACTGTCTCTTCCCCTTCTGCCCACACCTGGGCAAGCTAACAAGAAAGTCCAGCTGCTTCTTCTTTTGGTACTGGAGGGAAGCTCAAGCAGCAGAGTGGCCTCTACAGCTCACTCCAACCCCACTCCCTCACCACGATAAAACCCTAAGCCAGTCACCCCTCCCTGCTCTCGCAAGTTGATTTCAGACCTGCTTGGGAGCCCTCCCTGCTCTGCCCAGAAAGCCTCATTATGTGAGTATTAAGTCACTTCACACATTTTTAGTGCATCTGTGGTGTCAGTTTCAACCTCTGAACCAAATTTTGAGCAAGAGGTCTCAGTGAAGTAACACAACAAAGGTTGCTGTCACATCAGCCCCAGCCCCCAGGGTGGCTCTGTAATTGCTTTGTTTGCGCTACAGCAAGAAAACCCTCATTTGTGAAATTAAGGGGTTGCCAATGGTAACAGTTTTCTTTTTTATCAGGTTATTTTGCAACCTCAGGACAATCTTTTGACTAGTGGATTCCGAAGATTGAAAGCAAAATAGAAGCACACTGTTATTTCAAACACGAATTCCACATCATATCAACTGCTCACATTCATAAACTTAAAAATAAAAGCCAGGCAAAAGCACCTAGAACTGACAATTAAGGGCCAAAGTTATCTGTAATTGGTTTCACTGTGTTACCTTAGGTTACACATTCATTTATTTTTGCACAATTTTGTCCAAGAGGAAACTAAGAGATTATTTTGCTGTGACAAGAATATGAACAGGGATAATGCCTGATCCTTGCCTTCAATGGATGGCTGTGTTGGACATGTGACAGATGGTGTAGACCTTCAGAAAAGTTGACATGAGCTGAGAAGCAAGGTCTGAGTTTAGAAAAAGATCACTGATGACCTGCCTGTGACATATTTATAAGAAACTCACATACCATATTTCGTCTAAGCTGTCATTGAAGCTAAGACACATCACTTAAAACAAGATAAAAACACTGCCAATTTAAATTAAAACAATGTTTTCTTATCCTTCTAGAATTTCAATTTCATAAAAATATGATGTCATGATTTTTAAAAGCTCTTCTTCACTCTCCTAGACAATTTTTTATATATCATTTTCCATTTGCATAAAAGGGAAAATATAAGAGAAATACATTGCTTAAGAGATTCTTCAAACTTATTCATATTTAAAGTCCAGCTCTTCTGAATCATATGTTTCCATTAGAGTCAACAATGCTGGATGCAACATTTCTTAAAAGGATGCTTTGCTATTGTCGCCAAGATTTTCTTCCTAGCTGCTGACCCCCAGTCTGCAAATTTTGATATTGGCACTGTCTTGATTTTAGAAGAATATGTTTCAAAAAAAGGGGGGGGTGTTTCAGACCCCAGCTCATGATCCAGTGGTTTTGTGGTCTAAAACATCAAGGGGGGTATTGTGTGGTCAGGCTGTCTGGAGTCACAACCAAGTTTGACTGTGTAGATGATGACAAACACAATACAACTGCCATCTGGCTGGCAGTGACTATAAGACACACCCTCGTCTCAAACATGTTAAGATGTGGAAAAAATGTGCATTGCAGAATTGGTCAACACAATAGAAATGGCAGGAAAAGCTTGTACAAAATGAATCGATCTGGTGTAAAACAGGATGTTTTGTGATTTTGCATTGTTATTAGCTTGAAAAAATGTTCATGAAAACTCAAACATTTGCAGATTCCTGAAGCATTTGTACAAGTTCTATTTCTAGCAACTCCCAGATGGGGGCTCGCTTCAATCCAGACCCCAAAGCCCTGGACCACCTGTTCCCGGCCAGTTGCCAGCGTTAGCTCTGGCCACTTTCCCACATTGTTTCTGTGCTCCAGCTTTTTAAAGATACTTGTAGTTTCCTGAACGGGCCGTCTTCGGACTCACCTGTCCTAGTCAGTTCCAGCTGCTATAATGAGGTACCACAGCCCGTGAAGCTTGCAAACAACAGAAATTTATTTCCCACAACTTCCCAGAAAGTCAGATAGGTGGACAGAGAGATGTGTTTACTCCTTCTCCATCAGAGTGCTGCCAAACTCCAACCCCAAGGTGACAAATGGCAAAGTGGGGGAGGTGTATAGACCATTAGGCACAGAATGTCTTGGCATCAAGCCAGTATCAAGATGTCTGACTAGGACAGTGGTGGAGTCAGCAAGAAAAGAATCACGAAGTCTCAACTTAGGTTACATGACACAGTGAGCACCTATACACCTTACTAACTCCACTTCTGCGGCCGTTGTGAAGCGCATGAAGAAAATGTGAGCATTTAGGGGAATCAGAGAAGGCAGCTTTGGCCAGGAGCCCAGGCTCTAGAGTACTGATCTGCTACTGATTATCATGGACAAGCCCCTTCCATGCTTAAATGTGTCTCATCCTGTGGGGGTGTAGATCATTATGCTCATTTCATAGCACCTAACAGAGTGCCTGCACATAGTAGGTGCTCAATAAAGATTTGTTGAATAATGGAGTGAGGAAGGAACTGAGACCAGAGAGGTTAAATATTCAAGGTCAGGTCCATCTGACTCTGGAGTTCCAAAAGCAAGAAGGTTCCTGCCCTGCAGGTATGAGGGTGCCCTTCAGAGATGACCAGTCCCAGAAAAAGATGGCATTGTCTTAACGGTCAGCTCAGCTTTGTTGCTCTCTCCTTCCCTCTCTCCCCAACCCCCCACCTCCAGCGTGTTGATTCGGTCGGTAAAGATGGGCCGCGGATACTTCAGCATGCTGCAAGAGGAGAGTGCCTTGAAAAAGAAGCTACAGCAACTTCAGAAACTCAAAGAAGAAGAAAGACATAAATTCCAGCCAGCCAAAAAGATGTCAGAAATCCATTATGGCGAAATTCTTTTGACGTAAGTAGATGTGGCATCTGCAGTGCCAACAGTCTGGGGAAGGGCCATGCAGAGTGTAGCCGCCGGCTGGGCTGGGAGATGGTGGCTGTCTCTGACCCGAAGTCCCCTCTCTGGATGGCGTCTGACCATTTCTTTTAGTCTGCTCCAACTTACCTTGTCAGCCTCACCTCCTGGCACTCAGTGGAGTGTCTTCTACAACAGATGTCTGTCCTCATGTCTGATGCCAAGAGCTATATCAAAGAACTCTTGCTGGTCCCCAAATGTGCCTCTTTCCCTCTCTTTACCAGGCTTGCCCCTACCCCTAGGCCTCTCCTCACACTGTTCCTTGGGCCTTAAATACTCTTCCCCACATCCTTTTCCAACTCAAGTTCTACTTATTAAAAGCTCAGGGTGAATGCTGCCCTCTCCTGTTACTTCCTGGACTTCAGATCAAGCCCCTCCAAAACCCATTCAGACTCAGGGTTCCTGTAATGTGTTTGTGTGCTTGTTTATTATAACCCATATTAGTATCTCTCTTCTAGACCTTCAGCTGCATCCCTGAATCCTAGCTCAGGGTCCACCCAAAGCAGGTGCACAAGAAATATTTGTTGGTTTGTTGAATAAAGTAGCCCCCCTCTTTCTATAAAGGTCTTTCCTCTGATTGGAAGAAGACCATCAACAGATGGGTCCATTATGAAATGTCCATTCACATAACAGTAGCAATAGGGACGATGATAGTAACAACCACAACAATAATTATAATGAGTGTCTACTGTGTGCTTTATGCACATCTTTTCATCTAAATTTCAAAACATTCCTTAGATTGGTACTGTTATTACCCACCCCCTTTTTAGAGGTTAGGAATGAAGTTTAGAAAGTCTCACATAATTCCCTTGTGACTAAGGCATAAGTTAGAAAGCATTCCCTGAGTCCCAATCTGAGTGACACCAAAAGTTCTAGCCTGCACCATTCTGCATGGATAGACTCCTAGGATACTTAGAGTTGAATGAAGCACAAATCCGGGATAGAAAGGAGGTGCTGAGGCAGGTGGAGATGAAACATGGTAGAAATGGCCTACCCCTATAGCCATTGTCCTATTACAGCAGTGGTCTCAACCCTGGCTACACATTAGAATCGCCTGGGCAGTTTTCAAAATACCAATGCCCAGGGAAAGATGGCAGACTAGGAGGACCCAAAGCTCACCTCATCCCATGGATACAACTAAATAATACAACATACTAATGCCCAGGGTACTTCCCAGGTCAACTACATCAGATTCTCTGGGGGTGTTCCCTGGATAGAGTATGTTTTAAAGTTCCCACAATGATTCCAGTATGGAGCCAAGGTTGAGAGTCACTCTGCTAGGGCTTCAAGGATCCAAATTGCCAGATTGCCAACTACAAAGGAAAGGAACCCAGAGCAGATACCCCCTCTCCTCCGCAATATGTCCCAAATTCTGTTCTTCACAGTGTTAATATAGAGAAGTATTGATATGTGCTTCTTTCCTTTTTTAAAGATTTATTTATTTATTTTAGGGAGAGAGAGAGCATGAGCAGGAGGGGCAAAGGGAGAGGGAGAGAGAATCTCAAGCAGACCCTGTGCTGAGCATGGAGCCTGATGTGGGCCTCTATCCCAGGACCCTAGATCATGACCTGAGCTGAAACTAAGAGTTGGATGCTTAACCAGCTGTGCCACCCAGGCACCCCTCAATATGTGCTTCTTAAAAACAAGGGTCCTATCAGTGAAATCCTATAATATGTGACCTTTCTGCATCTGGCTTCTTTCACTTACCAGAATGTTTTTGAGGTTTATTCCAGACACAAAGCAGATTGGTGGTTGCCAAGGGTCAAGGGAGTGGGGGAGTGGGGAGTGACTGCTTAATGGGTAGGGGGCCTCCCTTGGGGGTGATGAAAATATTTTGGGACCACACTGAGTTGATGGTTGCACAACCATCAATTCAAATGCCATTGAACTGCACACTTTAAAACAGATAATTTTATGTTATGTGAATTTCCACCTTAATTAAAAAAAGGGGGGGTGTTCTGATCTGTGAGGTCCTGGGGTGAGGGTCAGGGGGCTGGACGCTAATGGTTGGGGATCTCCTTAAAGCTCAAGGTTCCAGGTGATGTTTGCAAATGCCAAGTGCAAGACCATGAGGGGCTGGTACATTTCTAGATACTCATCCCAGAAAGTGTGGCCCTTGGGAATCCCAGCTTATTATAAGAGGGGTCTTCTCTTTAACACCTCATTTGTGCAGACCCTGGGCTATGGTTTCTGTCCCTCTTGCCCTGTGTGCTATTTTAGAAGGAAAGTTAACTTTTTCTAAATTGGCAAATGTCCTTAAGACCAGGGCAGCACCCATGCTAGCTTACCTCTGTGGTCTGGAGTTTCAGAAATGTGGTTTCATTTTGTCTGGAGATTCCCACTTTGTATCAGCTCTTTGCTTTTTTTATTTTTATTTTTTCTATTTTGTCCAATGTTTGTGATTACTTTTACCCTAAGGGTCCATCTAAATAAGCTGGGCTGTCATTTGTGCATTCATTTATCCATTCTAAGATGAGAGAAAATATCTATGATTTACCATCCCCACTCCATGCTTTTTCAGGGGTGGGCATCCCAAGGAGGAGCCTGTTTTGGAGAGCCAGGGGTATTCAAGGGAATATGTAGATACAGAGAAAGAGCAGAAGTGCTTTACCTAAGAGGCAGAATGGAGACCTCCAGAAGACTGGCCAAGAGTGTGAGCAGAAGGGACCCTTTGGGGGAGAGAAGAGAGAGAGTAGCCAGCACTGGGAGAGATCAGAGACATCTAATGGGGATTTTTATGAGGTTCTACCTCATAGCGTGAGGCATAAATCCATTTCTCTGCTTCCCCACAAGATCTTCAGTGAGATATCAATGGCCCCTTTGTGTAATATAGTCTTCGACCTTCATCTTAGCCAGTTGCAAAGTAAGTTTGGGGGTGAGGAGGCTTTGTTGCTCCAGGCCCCTTCTTACTGCACAACCAACCATTATTTATTGAAGACCTACTATGTGCAGGCCCTCTGGGGTAACTGAGATATGAAAAGGATTAAGGGACAGTCCCCACCACATACAGTAGGAGCACAATAAAGCAACCCGAGGATGCCCACTGAAGTGGCCGTAAATGTGCCTGTAAAGGAAAAACACTCCTGCTGTGTTTCTCCTTTACTCTGATGCCATGACCACACTCACACTTCTGACACCAGATGTGTGAGGTTTTCTACCACACCAAGCAATTCTCCGAGACACCGGCGGGGCATCCTGTCATCCAACTCAATTCTGACTCTATCGACCTGGAGGTAGCGTCAGATCCCACAGCTTAAGGGCTCAGTCCCACGAGACTGCTCCCCACATCAGATGCCAACCACAACCCCCAGGTTGTCACCTGTACTTCTGACTGACTGGCTATAAATCAGGGTCCCCCTGACCTACTCCTTGGGCTTAATCATTTTCTAGAGTGGTGCACAGAACCCAGGGAAACACTAACTTACATTTGCCAGTTAATTATATAATAAAGGACACAGATGAACAGCCAGATGAAGAGGTAAATAGGGTGAGGTCAGGAGCTTCTGTCCCCATGGAGTTGGGGAGTGCCACCCTCCTGCTACTTGGCTATATTTACCAAGCCCAGAAGCTTTCTGAATCCCATAATTTGGGGATTTTTATGGCGGCTTCTCCGCATAGGCATGATCTAACATTAACTCAATTGCCAGCCCCTCTCCCCTTTCCTACAGAATGGCAAGTGGGGCTGAAAGTTCCAGGCTTCTACAGACGGTGTGGTCTTTCTGGTGGCCAGCCCCCATCCTGAAGCTATCCAGGAGCCCACCCAAGGGTTGCCTCCTTAGAGCAAAAGACATTCTTACCATGCAGGAAATTCCAAAGGATTTAGGAGTTCTGTGTCAAGAACCAGTCTAAGACCAAACATTAGAACAAAAGATGTTCCTAGTGCTATCACCACTTAGGAGACTACAAGGGTTTCAGGAGCTCTTTGCCAGAAGCCAGGGGCAGAGGACAGTAGATACCTTTTCTATTATTTCACTAATCCCCATCCCCTCAACGTTAGGGGGCAAAAAGAGAGTCTGGATAGAATCCCCAGAAGTGTGACGTTTGAGCAGGATTTTTAATGCTGAACAGAAAGAGGCGTGGTTAGACCCATCAGTATCAGCCCAGCAGAAATTCCTGTGGCCAGCATTTCTGGTTAGGAAGGCCAGAGCTAAAAGAGGAGGGTGTTGATGGTGTCATCTTTTGGAAACATGATTTTCAGAGTGAAAAGAAAGCAGACAAGTCATGACCTGACCCACCTGCATCTAGCCACTCAATGGGCCACCAATGAAGTCTGCTCATGGGATAAAGGCACATGATAGAGAGAAGGCCACTCGATGAGTAAGGCAGTTCTTACTCATTCCATGAGGGTTCCAAGAGCTTAGTGCAAAGTCTGCCCTCCCTGAGCCTGGTGGTGCTTAGAGCCCGGGACTCCTAGTGACACTAGCCAACTGGCAGGCTTTCCATGATACAAAGAGAAAGAATGAACTTGGGGCTCTTTCTTGCAGGAGCTGTGCTCAGATTACCAGGCAAATGGACCGGGGCTGGGGAAGGGGGAGAGACGTCTGTTAAAGATTCTCCTACGACTTTTTCAATAGTTCTGTTGCCACATCTCCCTTGTTTGGATGGTATTTTACTCCATGGTCATAGAACATGATTCTCTCTTCTCCCATCCATGTTTCAATGTGCGAGACATGGTTTATTTAAAGTTTAATAAGCTTAAATACACATGAGATTGTTCTTCTCATAGACATTGGTCTCCTTGTGTCTTACATGGTGGATTCTAGGAGCTGCACAAGTCTGGCTATTAAAATAAAAATGTAGGCCATGACTCCTGTGTAGCCATCAAATGCAGGTGGGGAAGCAGGAGTTATAAAATAGCAATGGGAGATTCTCCATACCAGTACAGAGTAGTGGTTAAGGGCACAGGACTTGGGTTCGAGTCCTGACTTGACCCAAAC